TCAGATATAGTGTCGAGAAATACATTAATATTTGGTTGACGTGTCGACTGACCATCGAGCAATGTGACATCATGGCTCATTGACAACGCTAATACACTGTACCGAAAGAAAAATTATTTGATTTAAAGACAAATTTCAAATTTGTTACTTACTAAGCAATACGAGTACGAACGCTTAGAGATGAATGATCGAGTAATTCTGCAATGTGTTTATACACTTCACACCAAACAGATGGTATGCGCCACTGAAATTCGTCTAAATTTCGAATTAAGCACCAACGTGCTGATTCATTAAATGTATTCGATGTTGATTTTGCATTGATTAGTGTGCACAGAAAATGAATTACGCGGAACATTCGACGTGGATCTTTATTTATCTTTAAACAACACAAAAAAAATATCAAATGATCAGTGATAGATACAACGTACAATGATATAAAAGAAACATGCATTCCAATGCGATAATATTTCGGAATTTAGATTATTACAAACTTCAGTAAGTAACGGCGTGAGTTTTTCCCATAGTTCATTCAACTAAAGAAAATGATAAGTCAACGATTGGATTAAGTTAATCCATTTGTCTTACCATTTTTAATGTCCAATTTGTTGAGCCGCAAATCATTCCTGCTACAATTTGTGCAGCTACTCGATGACTGCCTTCTTGTTTTTCTGTGATCTTTTCATGAATGAGTTCGTTCAATTGTTCTATGAAATTATCAAAAAATGCCAACCCAAAATTACGAAATAGACCCTAGCGATAATAAATTCAACATAGTTAATATAGAAATCATAGAACTTTTCTATTTACTTTAAACATAACAAATTGGTCTTTATCAAATTTCTTTTGTTCTTCATTCTCGTTCTCGTTCAAAATCATCAATTGTGTGATTTGTCTTACAAATTGTTTATTCATAAAACGATCATATAAAATGGTTACATCTTTGGGCATTTCATGATCTTTTGTATAACGTGCTCGTTTATTCATTGGGTATTTAATTATTTTTGGCCAAGTATAATATCCATGAAATGATTTATCTAAAAAGCATGTTTCTTCCCATTCGATTTGTGTTTCCGGTGGTTTATAATCATTAAATGTCAACCATAAGTTATCCTCCCGATCACCCGGATGGCAGTGATCAGTAGTCATATGAGGAAGTGGTTTACTATTGTTACATAAAATTTCTTCGAGAGATTTTTCTACATAGATGCGTGGTGGTTTTTGCAAACGACATAATGAAATAATTCCTATGATAGCTAACTGAAAAAAATTAAAGAGAAAAAATTGATTTATTAAATAATATTTGTGAACAAACTTTTC